ATTATAAAGAAAAAGCAAAGTCTTAAAACAGTTGATTCTTCATTTTGTTTTCAATTAAAGGATCACGGTCTATGACAGGGGTTCTCAAACGTTGACAATATGATCACAGGTGCACATGTATTCCAAAAGCCTTTGCAATCGTTACTTTGACCTCTGAGCTCCTTGGACGGTGGCTGTGTGCAGTTTGTGTTCACTGGACATGAGACGAACAGCCACTTTTGTATTTTTAACCATGTGTTTGCAGTGCCAGAGGGTCAGCGACACAGTGACATGCCTCCAGTGGATTATATAATCATAATTCAGAGACCAGTCTGTTACTGCTACGTGGGAGGGCTGACACCTTGTTATAGTGTCAAAATAAACAGAGTTTCAGATAATTGATTTGGTTTTCAATCAAGCTGTTAGGCTTTTGAGGAAATATTAGGACGGTATAGTCCAGAAGTAAACTGTACATTTAATTGGTTTAAACAATACACAATCAATTTATCTTCAGACCTTTGAAAGTTAGTCTGAAGTGTGTGCCTTACAAGTGACAATGTAAGGCATTGGCATAGTTTATACACAAGGAATTAAATTCACATCATGTCGTTGAGGTAAGTGTAATCTAACCTTTAGTATAATAGTTCCATGAATCTAACAGATAGATTTGTTGAAATGCCGTCTGTTAATGCTACACTGAGTAAATTTCTGAAAGTGGCACGTCACAATAGAAGTGGAGTACAAATATAATTGTGATATTGTTGAACATTCTACACAGAGACAGATCAGTCTGATGCCACGCTCTGGAAGCTACAGCCCAAAAAAAAAAACACAATTTCATGAAAACAAGCAGGAGGACACTCTCAGGCTCGGGGAAAGTGAAATAAAGTGAGTAAGTGTTTATTTCAAACTTATATGTTCATACAGCAGAACAAAACAAACAAGATTCCAGACGTACAGCACTTTAGGCTTTCTGAAGTGCAAGATTATGGGGTGCTCTCTATTGATGTCCCTTTCTATGGTCCTCTGATGGTGCTCTTGCCTGTGTCAATGTTGGTGTGTTTAATTTTAAAGTTTTAAAGTTGAATGTCTACTTTGGTGTATGCAAATGTATGTGGTGTGAAGCAAGTGAACCCCTGTCCCAAGAGGAATTCTCCCATGGAAGACATTAAAGGAGTATCTTATCTTATCTTACCCTTCAGGATCAGTATGTGTAAAGTTGGTGGAGTTAAAGTCACAGAAAGGACCCGTGTTTTTTCTGCGCAATGAAAACAAATTAATTGTCTCCACAGATGTATACACACAATATTTATATCATAAACACTGTGAGCAAAGGAAATGGATCTGTGCCCATCTAATCCATTTTAGTTTAAAGATCCTGCTCTCAGGTGAAAGATGCAATAACAGCAGTAGATCCTTAGCTCTGTATTACTGCTCTCACTACTCTCTCAGTTTATTATGGAGGTTTGTGGCTCAGAGACAGAGGCCTGTGCTCCATCAGGTCCAGACTCAAAGCCATAAACACAGAACTAAAGGTGAGAGGCGTCTGGAATCACAGCACACGACCTTCTAAGGACAAACTACTGTGGCCCGGAAATCTTTATCTGCAGAGGACGTTCACTTCATCTGACAAAACACTTGTCTGGACCAATTACTGCTCAAGTTCTCAGTTGGAACCTTTTTTGTTTATAATAGTCACCTCCTTCACCTCACAAATGTTGAGGGACTGTAATATTGCGCATATAAATAAATAGGTTAAAAAAGATTTGTGCAGAATTAAACCAAATATGTGTAAATCTAGTATATTATTGAATGGTGGGCCAATCATCTGGTGATTTTTACAACCAGTTTTGCCTAAGCCATAGTTACTTACTTCATTCTTACCCTCGATTACTGACAATTTCATCGACAACATTTTAAGTTTGGAATAAAAACTACCAACCAGAGACATAATAATCTAGATAGCAAAGGAAGGTTTCTCACCCATCATCTGTACTTCTTAGCAAGTTTTCCCGACGTTTCGTCCTCAACCTGGGGACTTCTTCAGGGAATGAATTCTCGGACCGCGCGTTGGAGATTTATAACCTATGGGTGTGGTAAGCCACACCCTAATCCTGATACTAACTCGTAAACAATCTAAGGTCTGCTTGATGTAGAAGGGAGCAGATCTAACGACCCTGCTGAGGCTAACGACCCTAACTCCTTAGCATGTCACAGACCTATTGTCTGCTGGGATGCTCAAGTGGAGTGCAGGTCTCACCCCTCCTAACTCATTAGCATGTCACTGACCTTGTCCCAAGTTAGGGCGTTGTTTTTAGGATGTCGTCATAGATGCGAGGCAAAACAAATCTTAACCCTCCTCCTCTGTTAAGAGAAGGTTTTTGTTTCCTCACAAAAATGGCTTCTTTCACCCCTCTCTCAAACCAATTCTTCTCGCGAGCCAGAATTTTAACCTCTGTGTCATCCACCGTGTGGTTGGAGGCCTTGAGGTGGAGATGAACAGCCAACTGTGGCCCACTAGAGTTTTCTCTACGATGTTGGTAAAGTCGTTTCTGTAGAGTTTGTTTGGTTTCTCCAATATAGTGGTCAGTGCACTCCTCTTCACTACATTTAATTGAATACACCACATTGCTCTGTTTGTGTCTGGGTGTTTTGTCTTTGGGATGCACTAATTTCTGTCTTAACGTGTTGAACGGTTTGAAATACACAGGGATTTTGTGTTGCCTAAAGATTCTTTGTAGTTTCTCTGAAACTCCCGCCACATACGGTAAGGACACGCCTCTCCTCCTACTTTCTTCTGTCTGTAGGACTGTGTCTCTGGCCTTTCTCGTCCTTTGGGCTTTAGTAAAAGACCACTTGGGGTAGCCACATCTGGAAAGTGCTCTCTGAACATGTTTGGTTTCTCTGTTCTTTCCCTCCGAGCTAGTGGGGACCTGGTGGGCTCGGTGTTGAAGCGTTCTAATGACCCCGAGTTTGTGTTGTAGCGGATGATTTGAATCAAAGGCCAAGTACTGGTCAGTGTGAGTGGACTTTCTGAAGACCTCAGTCTCTAATTGTCCGTTCTCCAGTATGATGACCTTACAATCTAGAAAGGCGAGTTCACTCTCCTTAGCATCCTCGCGAGTGAAATTTATAAAAGGGTCCACCGAGTTAATGTGTGCTGAAAATGGTTCCACTTCCTGTTTCTTTAACTTAACCCATGTATCGTCTACATATCAAAACCAATGGCTTGGCGCTGTCCCTTGGTAAGAGGCCAGGGCTTGTTCCTCCAGTTTCTCCATATACAGATTGGCCACTATAGGAGAGACTGGGGAGCCCATCGCACAGCCATGAATCTGTCTAAAGAAGGTGCCTCTAAATTGGAAATACGTGGTGTTAAGACACATTTCAAGTATTTCACAGATGTGGTCAGCTGTTAGTTTCGTTCTCTCCCCTAGTGTGGCGTCTTTCTGTAGGCTTTCTCTTACAGCCTCCACCGCCTCTGTAATAGGGACCGACGTAAAAAGCGATGTCACATCAAACGAGACCATTGTCTCATCTGTGTCAAACTGGAGGTGTTTGATTTTATTTACAAATTCTTTTGTGTTTTCTATGTGATGGTGGGTGTTACCCACCAAAGGAGCCAGAATGGTTTTGAGGTGTTTAGCCAGGTTGTAGGTGATAGAGTCTATGCTACATACAATAGGCCGAAGTGGAAAGTTTTGTTTGTGTATTTTTGGGAGGCCATAAATACTGGGGATGGTGTCTCTTGGGTAAAGTTTGTAATATAGTGGTTTTTCAATAATGCCCTCTTTCATTAAGTTCTGAAGGAAGTCTATAATCTTTTTCCTAAACCCACTGGTAGGGTCCCTCTTCAATGGCTGGTACGTGTTGGTGTCTAAGAGTAACTGATTAACTTTGGCCTCATAGTCTGAGCTGTTGAGGATAACTGTGCATCTGCCTTTGTCAGCTGGTAAAATAGTTATATTCTCATCCTTTTGTAATGCCATTAATGCTTTTTGCTCATCTAATGAGACATTGGATTGTGGGGGCTTCGCACTTTTGAGTGTTGCAGAGACTCTCAGTCTGAGGGCCCCCGCCTCACTCTCAGTTAGTTTGTTGTTTCTAATGGCTGCTTCTGCTGCTGTGATGTATTCAATTGTAGGAATATCTTTTGGGGTTATTGCAAAATTTAGGCCTTTAGTAAGAACATCTTTTTCCGCTTGTGATAAATGCCGATCAGACAGATTTTTGACCCAATTCTCCCTGTCCAAGCCTTGTCCAATTTCACTTTTGGAATGTTGAAAAGAATTATGGTTTTGGAGTTTTACAAATTTGCCTATCTGACGTTCTTTGGCCTTCTTGTGATGGTTCAGTTGGGCAGTTTCCGTAAACGTCCAAATCCTCTGAAAAAACTCTGGTGAGACTGCCAATTCCAGTTTGTGCTTAAGGCCCTCTATCTCGTCCTTTAGGTTTATAATCTCTATGTTAAGTCGTCGAATTCTTAAATTGAGAATCTTCATACAGTAGTTTTGTTGTATTTTTCTTGCCAACTGGCCTGTTTCTAATGCTTTTTGCTTTAAACATTTTGGGATAAGTTTACTCTGGCTACACCTAAGATTGAACCTAAGATGATTTCTGGCGTCTGCTAGTTTTCTTTTGATTTTCTCCAAAAAATAATCTAGATAGTACATGACCACTTTGGCTTGATGTATAAAGCTGTTGCGGCCAAACCAGAAAATTGTCTCCCATGTAGTTTTCGTGAGTTCAAACATTCAAGCATTTTTGTAAATGCATATAAGTGCATGGAATTCAACTCTAAGGATCTAAGCTGCTCTGCGCTCCAGCTGTGCAGTCAGTAAGGATAAGGCTCGAAAGGAGGGAAAAAACGAGTTTCTGCTTCATGCATCACTGAGAACTTTCAATATATCGTACTCACCATCCTGGATTTATCATCATCACTCTAAATGCCACAAACCGGATCATTCCTGACAATAATAGACATGTTTCAGAGCACTTTTGTGTCTGTATAATACACTAACCTGGAGGCTGCGATCTCGGCCTTTAGTTTGGCTATGGCGGCCGCCCTTTGCGCTCCCTCCACCGCACGCTCCACTTTGTGTTTGATCTTTGTTCCTTTGATGTGGATCATCCTCTTCTTCACGGCCTTCACCAGCATGTTGTTTACGTACTTGCCCTCCTCGCGACCCCCCTCGGCGAATGTGGTGCAGCCGTAGCCGTGTCTCTGGTTGTTGTGCCACTCGCCCTCGTACTTGAGTCCACTGGAGCGCTCGCTGATGCCATAGCCCGACCGCTTGTCGTTCTTCCACTCGCCCATGTAAACCTCTGTGGTCGTGGCGTCAATGTCGGCCTCCACGGGGAAGTCTTCCGCTCCGGCCAAGCTCTCGTCTCCCAGGCTGAGGGGACAGGTTGGAAAACACTGGTTATATTGAGTATTAGGGCTGGAGATCACTATATTCACAAAATTGCTGCAATACTGGAAATAATTACATATTACTTGTATAATTGGAAATATATCCATCCATCCATTTTCTGCCCCCCCTTAATCCATTTCGGGGGGGGTGGCAGTCAGAGATGCCACCCAAGTCACAGAGCACCTGCCCCTCACTGATCCTCTGCAGGTGATGAGGCCACAGGAGGATGGCTGCTCAGTCAATGTGAGCATAGCCATGATCTCTCAGTGGGGGCTTTGGGCAAAGTGGGGTTAAGTGTCTTGCCCAAGGACACAACGACAGCAGACATCAGTGGGAGTCGGAATTGGAAATATATCTATTTTAATATGTGCCCCATCTGTAGAATCCAATATGACTTCATACAATGGATTTGAAGGTTTCTGTAGCATCTCTCAACAAATGCTTTCACTTGCCATCTTATTTATCTTCTTTGCCTGGCAACTCAAGAGTGTAGAGTTCAGTAGCAGGAGTCAGGTGCTCATTGAGGATCTAAGCGTTATGAAGTAAACTTTCTGACAGAGGGAAGAAGATTTGAGGCGCTCTACTAGTTTCAAGTCCTTTTCTGTAGTAGAGGGACCCAAGATGTTGTCGAAACATGTCAGTAAGTATTACTTATAGGACTTGGTGCCATAGATCTTCGTCCTGGTGTTTGTAACTAACATTCGTGTACTTCTATTTTACCCATAGCCGGGTCGCCCAGTCCTCTCTACAACCGACTCCAATGAAACCTCCTGCGGGTAGAAGGGTTGTGAAAAGTCATATAATGTTATAAACAAAACATAATTTAACTTTAAACTTTCTTGCACATTTCTTCATAATTTTTAAACTATATAAGAATAACTAGTATAAAACCTTATCATCCCATAAAAAAGTATTATTATTTTGAGTTAGAAATCGCTGTAGTATCAAAATGGAGTTTGAATTTGAGCAAATAGTCACCCTCACAGGAGGACAAAACCACTTTGTCCCTCGAGGATGATAAGTAAGAATTGCTCTAAAATCTGTTACCTGATGGTGGAGTTGGTGTCGCTGGCGTTGGAGCTCAGGGCTGATTCTGTTCGGAGGAAACTAAGTTTACTTTTTTGACTTGAGAGGGATGTGTTTGACTCAGCTTTTCTCAGCTTGCCCAGAAGAGAACTCCTGAGTAAAAGAAGGAGACAAAATATTACAATCCAAAGTGTTGCACAATAGACAAGTATAAAACTAATGTAATGAAATTACAGCAAAATGTATACTCAACATTATGGCCTTAGGCCTTCTTTAAACATGACCTTAAACCTTTTCCCCTATACCAGCCAATAAGCTCAGGCCTTTCGAAAACATCTCATAAAAAGAAAATAACATAAACTTAAATTAATACCAGGGGCCACAGTGGGGCAGCTACGGCTGTATAGTGCCAAAGTGTCATCGTGTCCTCAGGCAAAACTTCACAAACATTGTCTAGACTGAGTCTGGTGTGTGCGTGAATGGTTGGTGGTGGTCGGAGATGCCGATGGCACATACTGGGCAGGGCAGCTATGGCTACAGTTGTAGTTTATCACCACTATGCACAGAATGAATGAATAATGACATTATTATTATAATTATTATTATTGACCATATGGACACATGTTGCAGCCCACAATGGCTCCTGACCCACCTCTGAAACAGGCCCTTCTTCTTGGTTTTGGCGGTCTCTGGATCCACTTGCAGTGTGAGTGCAAAGCCTCCGCGTGTCGGGCCCAGAGCTGTGGGTGTGGACAGAGGCGTCTCCTCTCCAGAGGTGCTGGTGGTGGTGATGAGGGGGACGTCCTGCTGCAGCACGGCCCCATTACTGTGCTCCGAGCGCAAGGAGGTAAGTGAGGTACGCAGGGGGGAGCGCACCACTGCTGCCATCCCATAAGGAACGCTCTGACGGACCCCGTAACCGTGACGCATGCCCCCCGTGAACTGGCCCTGGAAAGTGCCTGACACAGAGACAAAAAAACAATCAAAAAAACAATCAATAGCAGTGTGGCAGTCAAGCAGTTGGAATGAATGCTATTCTCAAATCCTCATCATTGATCTGGACAGTGTTTGTGTTCAAATAAAAAGATTCGACCCACAGTATTTTGTGATATATTGTCTTGGTGAGTGTTAAGCTAAAACAACTCCAGGTCTGTTTTTGATTAGGGGAATTGTTGGAACATTGTTAAAAAATGTATTGATTGCTGTGATGTTGAAATAAATATTTGCATATATAATCCTGCAGGAAACATAACGACATGACAACAATAAAGTTATTAGAGTGGGCTAAACTTATCACTAGAATCACATTTCCACAATTGGAGAATTGAACATATTGTCCATGTTTTGAGTGGATCCACACACTTCAGCCACTGAAGCCACAGGGGCAGACTGAGAAAAAACTGGCTCTCAATTTGTGCTATGGCGATCTCAACCAGTGGTGTGGGCAATGTGGAAAGGATACGCCCTCCTAACGCAGCAGTCTGTGACTATTCTTAAACTCTGACATCTACTGATACCCTGTCCCCCAGATAAACTCCCCTCACTAACTTAGAATGATGAGTCAGCTGGTAACAAGGTAACACTCATGTGCACACCTTATGCACCTGAGGCATTTATAACTGGTAATTACAAAATTATTGTGTTGTACAGAAATGTCTGATAACAGAAATTGTGTAATTGTAAATAAATGCAACTTTGCAAGATAGGAGCTTGCTGTCGACCCATCACAACAATATACAATTAGTTTATTTTAGTTTTGTTTCATTTGCCAATTGCAGTACAAAACCACATTCATACATGAAGTTAGAAAAGACAGACAAACTTTTACCATAATATAAATACTGTTTTTGGCCCATCAAGTCATTTGACAAGTTTATCCCAAGAAGCACTTCATAAATTGTACTCAGTGGCGTTCCAAGGGTACCCCGGGGCCCCAGGCAACAGAGTCCTTGGGGGCCCCGATACCGACCACATAACCACAAAAAAAGGTAGGTATACAGTAGGTATAAATATATAATTGATAATAAGGTAGAATGCAATATCTATTACTTGTTTACATCAATATAAATTAAATTCACATTGCCAGGATAGCCAGGTGATATCCCCCCTCAATTTTTGTATACAAGTCCCACATCAAAAAGAGACTAAAAATTTTTTATTTGGGGTACATGTGGTCTCATCAAATAATTCTTCTTACAATTAAGTTTTCTCAATTCAAAATTTCTCAAAAATTATTATCTACCACTTATGTTTAATGGTGAAATTGTCATTATTATTGACTCATTGACTACCAGACCTTTTTCAGATCAGGGAAGTGTGTTCTGCCAGTGTTTTTAGGGGATTTGACTATATAAACACCGAGGGCGAAATGAAAGATTAAGCTCTTAGCTCTAATCTGCCAAAAATGGCTTGTTTTAACCTTTTACCATTCTTGAGCAATCTGTCCTAGAATATAATGTATAAAATTTAATCCAACACGCAGACCACGCCCGGATTCAAACCCGGGTCAACGCAGCACAAGCGCTGCAACTTAACCACTAGACCACTAATACATACAATACTTGGATGTCCCCAGGCAGGCTTTTCAACTGTTAATGAAGAACGTGGCAAGTTTTGCATCAGACAAAAAAGTTTTTTTTGCAGGTCCCTGCAGGTAGCTGTTGTAGCCTGTATAAGTCGACCGCTTGTGTCAAATCAGTCGGCCCTTCGGGGCCCCCTGCCGGTTTGGGGGCCCCAGGCAGCTGCCTGCCTTGCCTAGGGACGCCTCTGGTTGTACTTGAGTTATAACAACAGGCATGTAGTTTTTATGACTGAAACTAAAAACTGGTTAATATGTTTGAGATGTATTCAGTAGAAATTTGTTTTCTGTGAGTGAATATAGTAAAAAGCAAAGGACTAAAAATACACCCCTGAGGTGAGCCAGTGCCGATTTTCCCTTTCTGTGATATGCCTGTTAAAAATTCAAGAGTACCATCAACAGGATTCTAGCGAGATATTTAGTATTGTCCATAGTCCATAAAAACAGAATTCAGCAATGATTAGACATACAGTAAGTGTCCTCTCCATGTACAAGTTTCCACTTTTCCATTCCATTGCATTTCCTTCCCTTCAGTCTGAGCTTCTATCTCCAGACCCTCTCCACAGACACTTCCTGCTGCTCACCTGGGGAAATCCTGAGGCGTTCTTAGGCCTCAGAAAGACAAAGTCCCCCTTCAAGTCCTGGGACATGCCCGGAACACCTCCCAGAAAGGTGTCTCCACCACCTGGAGAGGGCAAGACATCATTCTCCAGTCGAGAACCATGGCCACTGATTTTTAGGATAACATATACTGTATTTTGTTTTTGAACTAAAAAGAAAGCAGTTTTTATACAACATTTTCCTGTTTTCCTTGGCCAGTTCCCTAAAGCTGTCCTCAGACAATCACACAACAGCTAAGCGCTATGACAATACTGAATCGTGGTCTGATTTGTGAAAATGTCACACCACGACCTCTTACACCTACTCCTCTTATTGCTCAGTCTCTGTCAGAACATGGTGTAGAAAATATGTTACTATATACAGTACAGACCAAAAGTTTGGACACACCTTCTCATTCAAAGAGTTTTTTTTATTTTCATGATTATGAAAATTGTAGATTCACACTGAAGGCCTCAGAACTATGAATCAACTCATGTGGAATTATGTACGTACTACAAAAAAAAAGTATGAAACAACTGAAAATATGTCTTATATTTTAGGTTCTTAAAAGTAGCACCTTTTGCTCTGATTACTGCTTCGCACATTCTCTTGATGAGCTTCAAGAGGTAGTGACCTGAAATGGTCTCAAAAAGTCTTGAAGGAGTTCCCAGAGATGCTTAGTTGTTGGCCCTTTCACCTTCACTCTGTGGTCCAGCTCACCCCAAAACCATACAGATTGAGTTCAGGTCCAAAACCATCTGGATTGGGTTCAGGTCCGGTGACTGTGGAGGCCGGGTCATCTGGCCCAGCACCCATCACTCTCCTTATTGGTCAAACAGCCCTTACACAGCCTGGGTGTGAATCTACAGTCAATAGTCATGAAAAGAAAGGAAACTCATTGAATGAGAAAGTGTGTCCAAACTTTTGGTCTGTAGTGTATAGGACAAGGGAGTTTAATATTGTAATTGTATTATTTTTGCCTGAGATTGTGATTATAATAAGATTTGGTATTTACATTTAACCAGTTGGATTCTGTCACGATTTTGTTCTTATTTCAAATATGTATTGATTTAAGGGTTTTCATCTACTCTTCATCTGCTCTAAACTTAGATTATTGGAGTATATTTGTGTCTATGAAGATAATTGATGTTATTTTTTTTTTTCTTGTCTGTGTTGATCTGGACCTTGAGTCTGCATATAAAGTTATCTATCTATCTATCTATCTATCTATCTATCTATCTATATATCTATCTATCTATCTATCTATCTATCTATCTATATATCTATCTATATATCTATATATCTATCTATATATATATATATATATATATATATATATATTTGAACAATGCGCCTGGAAACGGCTGCAAGTCCTAAGTAGCTCTAAAACAGTTGTTGTTTTGTACTTAATAAATTTTTATTTTTATTGCTTTTTTCTGCCTGAGATGTTGCTGCAGTACAGTGTTCATGGTTTTACACTGGTCCAGACTGGAGCGAAGAGGATTCATGGTCCGAACCAAGTGGATCAGGTGAAAATCCACTGGAGGAATGCACATTTTTTGAAACACGCTAATGAAGCATTTAGCATTTTACTTTGGACAAGAGCAGAGAAAATGGCCTGATCAAGCGGGTACTCCACCTTTTGACCTGTCCTGCTCCACCTAGAGGCTACTCCACCTCTGCTGCTGGGACCTGTCCTGCTCCACCTAGAGGCTACTCCACCTCTGCTGCTGGGACCCGTCCTGCTCCACCTAGAGGCTACTCCACCTCTGCTGCTGGGACCCGTCCTGCTCCACCCAGAGGCTACTGCATCTCTGGGTCTGTGACCCGTCCTGCTCCACCCAGAGGCTACTCCACCTCTGCTGCTGTGACCCGTCCTGCTCCACCCAGAGGCTACTGCATCTCTGGGTCTGTGACCCGTCCTGCTCCACCCAGAGGCTACTCCACCTCTGCTGCTGTGACCCGTCCTGCTCCACCTAGAGGCTACTCCACCTCTCCTGCTGGGACCTGTCCTGCTCCACCTAGAGGCTACTCCACCTCTGCTGCTGTGACCCGTCCTGCTCCACCTAGAGGCTACTCCACCTCTGCTGCTGGGACCTGTCCTGCTCCACCTAGAGGCTACTCCACCTCTGCTGCTGTGACCCGTCCTGCTCCACCCAGAGGCTACTCCATCTCTGGGTCTGTGACCCGTCCTGCTCCACCCAGAGGCTACTCCACCTCTGCTGCTGTGAGCTAAAGGGCTGTTGCTGATTATTACTATTATTATGTTTTTAGAATGATCTATTTTATTTTTTATTTTTGTTGCTACTGGACACCTGAATTTCTCCTACGGGGGATCAATAAAGTATCTATCTATCTATCTATCTACTCAAGTTTTGCAGGTTTTAAATAAATAATGTAACTAATTTGCTTATATATGTTTGGATCAATTTAATATGTTGTACATGTACTGTGGACCCCTGTTATATCTGTAATACTGCTAAACATTTTTATGTGAAGAACTGAACATTTGTTTTAACCACATCGTTGCTACACTGTCTATATCCTTAAGAATGTGTCATTAATATCTCAAGTGATGACATCTTCTGTTCTTATGCACATGAGACAAATCATTTAACCCTTTAATGGTTTCCTCAACCATTTTGAGTCACTTCATCTACCTCATTGGAGACACTCTATCACTTGGTTTAAGGCACTTATACTGTCAAACTGCATCTCAATCATTTGGTAAAGGCCTATAATAAAAAAAAATTGGGTTTAGAAATATAAAACAAAAACATAACCAATAACAAATGATTTGTGTTATTAGTGCTATACTCAAAAATTACATTTCTTTCTTCAAGGAGTGAACATTAAAGGGATTGTCTCCTCTTGTTTGATCTGAAGGGACACCAATATTCAATCTCTGTGTGTTGCAACAATAAACATGAAATTCTCCCACTGTGGGACAAACCACAGTTTTCATATCTGTTCCTGCGTCTAGGGAGAAAGAGGGATGTCAGCGTGTAACAGCTCAATTCTACAAAACAATGCACTTATATGAATGTCTGTTAAGCGCCCGGCACCTGAGCGGTTTTACAGTGCGTGTTGAGTTAAGCGTTGGAGTGAGTGCAAAGCTAAGTTTGACTGACAGCAACAGACTCAGACTTTCTTCAGCTCAAACTTCATGAACCACTGCAGGGATTATCTCAAAGGGCTCTGATTGCAGTCTCATCTTCTTCAATGAGAAAGACACTATCCTGCCGCACCCACAGCTATGTCACTATAAAAAGATGCTATGCTTAATGTTAAACTTACTTCTATGCCAAGTTTAAATGTATACATTGCTTGTGTCATTACAGCAGATCGCCTTTTTAGAGAAAGTCAATTGGGTAACTGAGATAAAACAATGGTCCATTCCATTTATCATAGTAAGTCAAGCTTTTATGGTTCATCATTGCATTTCAGGTTATGATATGTGTTATTTCATGACATATTTAGCCTTATTCAAATCCTATAAATATGGTATAGACCGGCCTTTAGATCTTAAACATTAGTTAGTTAAGTTTGTTTCACAGTACTGGTTAAATAGAAATGACATACATGTTTTACACTAGTCACAGAGACAGCCGCACTGCAGAAGTAAATATAAAGGTCCTTCAAGTCATGGCGGCATGTCCATTTAAATACAGGACTTTTATTTTTACTGCTGCAGTGTGCCTCAGATATTTCCTTGACTTGTCTTTGCATTTGGTCTCATCCTGGAGAGCTCCTGTAAGTCTACAGCTTTCAGCACTGTGGGCCCTGCAGCACTCACTACTCACTTTTTTGTTCTTTATTCACTAATAGAACTGGCTCTGGCCTTTACGGTTCTGACCTGGTTTAGTCCTGTCTAAGACCTGCTTTGGTTGAGTTTGGTCTCAATCTAATAACATAAGGATTCTGCCCTGGCGAGTTCTCATTGGACTCAAACTGATTTTAAATTTAGAACTGCTGTTATTGCTGGTTTAGAATCTGTCATAACATAGTCTTGCTTTAGTTCTGCTTTAGATCTTTTTATTTGATTGATTCACAGTTTTTAAACAGTTTAGTCACATTCGGTCTTGCTCTATTCTAGTTTAAACCTGTTTAGTTCTGCATTTGCCTACATCTGTTTGTATTGATTCATTCTGTGGTGGGGGTATTACCCGCATGATTCCTTGTAAATAATAGGTTAAAACTTAAAACCATATTTAGCCACAAACTCCATACATCTATAATCAAAGTGTAACATTTCCACAGAAACAACTTATCCATAGACAACTTATCAAGAGATGCAAGCCCACTCACTGTTGTTCTGACACTTGTTTTGTATTCTTCTGTCGGGGCTTTGGAAAGTACAAAATGGGAAAACATTTATTTATGTTTTCTTTTTCATTTATGAATGTAGTGTTGCTTTAGACCTGTAGCAGCTGATTCAGTCATGCTGCAGTGCTTTAAACCCTTTTCATTCAGAGCTTCAGACATGCTGAAGACTTTGTTTAGCCTAAACTGCATTCACCACTTCACTTGTGCCAAACATTAATAGCTCCATAGACTGCTGCAGAGTAGACCAGCTGCTCTCTCACAACACAATTCCTGTGCCTAATTGTCTCACCTCCATCCGCGTACGTCTCAGTGCCGTATCCATCCTGCAGACCGTTATTCCAGGTTCCTTCATACTTGGCACCGCTCACCACGTTTGTTCTCACGCCGTATCTGCCTTTAAACCCGTGCGTCCATTCGCCTTTGTAAATCCAGTGTCCTTTAGTCTCGATGCCCAGGCCGTGGCGCTTGCCCTGTTGCCAATAACCCTCATAGGTGTTCCCACTCGGCCAGGTATAGACTCCCACCACCTCAAATCCATAGTTCCAGGACCCGGCGTACTCCCCCTGTCCTTTGGGGCCCGTGCAGATGCCATGCCCGTGCGCTTTCCCTCCCTCCCATCCACCGCAATACGCACCACCATCATCAAACTCAAAACGACCACCGCTCATGTTGCCTTCTCACAAAAAATAAAAAATCCACTTAGAACTCCCAAACTACCGAAAAGAAAGCTTCATGCGTGCGTCTTCGCTTTCACCAGACATCCAAACTGATTTGAAGTTTCCTCAACGCGAGAAACGGTGTTATTATAGCCAAGTTTCTAAATGCGTAAATCCCAAATACGTCTTCTTCTTGCTTCTTGTTCCAATTAACTTTACTTGGAGTTGCATCAATAATAAGTTACAAATTTAAACTTGTTTGTTCTCCCAGTTAAACCAATTCAACTTTAATTGTAAATTTTGACAAGCCAGAGATCTTACATGGCTTATGGAGGTGGCTAAAGCGAAAAAGCGCCCCTCTCCCCTGGTCTGTCCCTGCCACCAGCTATCTTCTGACAGAATATTTTAGCAGACCTAACAAGGCGACCAATCCACGGACACACATGCGCGCTCTTCCAAAAATACGACCCAATCCTCAGCTCGCGGCTGCTGCTCTGTGCAAGGAGCCGTGCCAGAGTCTTGTGCCACTTCGGGACCAGAGCGCATGCCATTCAGACCGGCCGGGTCTGGACGTGCTGTCCATTCACAGCGCGCCATGTTGCTGAAGTAGTAGGCAACCTGGTAAATATGTTGCTGCATTCCGCTGTAAATCAATTGGATATGAGTGGGTTACTTGCACCTTTACGCGGCAGTATCGGACAATCAATAGACATATCCAGTAAATAAAACAACTGAACAATAAAAGGAATGAATGAGAAGAATGAAAAGCTTTAGAAACATAGGCAAGACGGCTGGAAACTCGTCTGTACCCTCTGCTGGTCATGTTTGCCAGCTACAATATTGTATAAATAAAAAAGAATAAAAACATTATTTATGTATCTAAATGTGAACATTCCAGTAAGTAACTCTCTGCAACTATAGGAAAAAACTACTTAATACTTTGTAGACTTGTCAGCAGAACCATCTCTTCATCAACGCAGTGAAGGGAAAAGACAGAGAGTGTCTTTCTGACTGTTACTCTTAATGTTGTAAACCCTTTTTGTTTTTAACCAAAACATGAGTCAATAGGAAGCCTTTAATTTGAACTTTTTTAATGATGAAAGTGTGTGGCCCATGGATTTCCCAGTCCATGGGCTGACTTCAGCAGATGGCGCTGTTGTGTCACATTGGCTCCTGCACACAACTGTGTATGTGCGTGTACAACAGTGCACTGAGAGTAAGTGAAATATTTCTCTAACAATACTTTAACTTTATTTCCTTTTATGATTATGATAGCCTTTTCCTGCCACCCTTTACTTCAAACCCAATATATGTGCAGAATACATCCCTGTGGTATGGCTCTAAGTTCAGCAGAGGAACCCAGCTGTGCGTGCTGGCTACATGATCTACATGCTTTGTTTGTTCCATTGTGAAACGATGAAACGCTTAGTTAAATGGTGTGCGAGCAGTCACTCACTGATCATATGCAATATATTTGTACAATATCAGTGAATCAGGTGAGACCAGGACCTCTTTTGGGAGACGTCCTGGTCACACATTTGGGCAACGTGTTGATGATGTACTACACGCACCACACCGTCCAGGACTCAGGCACAGGCACAGGCACAGGCAGTGGCTGTGGCTCATTTCAGCACCGGAGCTGTCCACGCATGAACTGATGCTGAGGACGGGTCGTGGTACTGAGCCCCTCCCATCTCTCTCTCTCTCTCTCTCTCTCTCTCCTCTGTGAGTCTCCCATCCCTGCCCCTCCCTCCCTCCCTCCTCGCCTCTGTCCTCTCCTCTCACACGCACAAAACGCTCTTGTCATGGCGTCCTCCAACCATGTTACCCCCACCAACTGTAGCTGGTGGCCGATCTCCGCCATGGACGAGGACGAGGCCAAAGATGCAGAGGACAGCGAGGAGCATCCCGCCGCGCAGGAGCCCAAAAACCCCACAGCACACAGCAAAGAGCGACTCGTCCTCTACCACTGGACGCAATCTTTTGCTTCGCAGAAGGTAGAAACATGCTCAGAAAATGGATTCCAATGCATGACGTGCAGTGCGCGTTTGTTATTGTGGTGGTTGTATGATAATGGTCCATGCACGCTGCTGTCTTGGTAAACACATCCGGAGAGGAGGTGCATAGCTGGGGTTGGCAGCAGTCAGAAGGTAGCTAATACTTCTGCTGCATTGCTCCTGCATATTCCTGAGCACTGTCGCCTATAGTGGAAGAAGCCCACATCACCATGATACACGCCTGAATAATAGATCAAAACGAGGTGTCCCTGTTGTAAAGGCCAAGCAGCTGTGTTTATTATGCAGCTGTGTTGGCATTAAGGAAATATAATGTGTAGGTATTCAGTTGTAAATCACACATAGATCATTATTCAGAATTGTGTGTTCTGTATATCACAATAGTAGTTATAATATCTAATCATAATAACAATAAGGTGCATTGACTTCCTGTTCAGATTTGCAGAACCTATAAGCCCCGCCTCCTTCCAGTTGCATTTCAGTATAGCACAGCATTTTTTAAGTACATATACTGTATGTGGATACGAATCATGGACAATGCGATGGATTCATGTGGAGGGCTGATACAGTATATAGAAGAATACAGTATTAACAAGAGCGTCAGAAACAAATAGTTTTAAACATGTCACCTTTAATGCTACATTTTCGGCCAATGCAAGTCCTGGTTTAGGCTACTGTTTAGAGCAGTATTTGGAAATTGATTTGGATATGGATTTGCCTTAGTACTGCCTCAGTAGTGCCAAACTATTGTTGTGTAGTGATCATATTTTGTGATACATCTTCACTATCATGGGCTGGTGTTGTATCATTATGTTACTAGTTTTCAATATGTTGTGATAGTGCAACAATCCAAAGAAATAAAGAATAAAACTACAAATTGATTAGACATTGATTGGACTATTAATATGTGTCTTTTCTGGTTAATGTTGTTGTTTTGATCTCAAAAGATAAATGCAGTACATTGCAGGATATCACATGCATTATTTTGATAATCACTATCATGTTTTGGCGTCCTGTGATATTTTTAGAATTAGTTATATTTTGATAGTACCTTAAAGTTGCTTGCTTGCTTAAAGGTCCTTGCCCAATTTTGTTGATCTAATCAGATAAATTAATTCTCTATGTTGGACCAAATCCTTATTCCCATTTTGCAACTAAGGGAACCATCTCCACCACCATACTACACCAGTATATAAAGTAAGGTATTCTTTATTGTCCCTGCAGGGAAATTTGACCTCTGCTTTTGACCCATCCTACATCCCAGCTACTATTGGGTAACCTGTCAGGGGGGAGTGGTCACCGCAGTGCAGCGTCCAGACCATCTCCAGACGTGAATGCTCAGCTTGGTCAGGACTTTGCTGGGGAATCTTCTATGGTCCATGAGTTTCACTTATAAAGTCCTTGAGTCCTTGTTTAAAATGTGTTCCAATTGGTTCAGAGCTACAATGTTTGGCCCAGTCTATTTCTTGATTTTGTTTTATTTTTCGTTGTTCTTCTATCAACACAACACAATTAGACGTCACAATCAGTATATTGTAGGGCTGTTGATCGGTTAGTCGACTAAATAGTAGTCAACTTATTGTCCCGTTTAAAAACGATTACTTATCTGACCTAAACTGGCTATACTTCAATTTCATGAAAAAAACAACTGCTTAGAAATGATATTTCTTGGATATTTAAATAAACAAAATGATTAAATACGTTTGAATTGGCTTTGACTGCAAAGTGAATAGCTTCCCAATCCCATTTTTTATTTTGATTTGAAATGAAAATGGTAAATAAGTGGAGCCAATATTTAGTTTGATTTGTTTTGTGTTTGGAAAGCAGTGACTCGCCCCCATTGAGTTATATTTCCATCTGGAATGAAGACATAAAACCCCTACATTTTCCAGGTTTGATTTATTCTTCAGCTTCATAAATGTAGTTTATGGTTTATATGTGTATATTTGAAGATGCACATCCCAGATCCACTACAGGGTCGGTTGCATTAATTCTGTGAGAAGCGCTGATACGACTCTTTTAAAGTGAGATTTTGACTCTTTGCCAGTGGCTCTTGTCACTCAGCACAACGTAAACTCTCTTCACTTCATGTTATCACTTCATACGCAAAGATAAAATTGTGTTCCTCTCGTCACAAGCAAGTAATGATAATGGACTATGACCAAGTTCTGCAGGGGAAGCTGTTTTTCCAGAGCGACATGTTGTTGTCAAACAGACTAATGTGAGCTGAGTGGGTAGCACTCATGTCTCACAGCAAAGTGGTGTAAAATCAAGTGTTTTAAGTTTAATCAACATTGTTCTTTCGTCTAATAGATGCAGGACATTATTTCAGGTAGTACAGTCGCTGAAAGGAAACAAATGGACAAAGAAACTGAGAACACTATCCTTTCAAGTACCTCCACATTAGAATAGAAATAGAATAGGAATCCATTGAGTAAAATAGTGCAAAAACAAAAGAGTTGTACCAAAGGAAATCCATTTAAACTCACAGTATTCATCTGTGATGAATCCCTCTCCATGTTGCTGTGTTTAGACTCAGCACAGTGCAGCTCCAGCCACAGTCAGCAGTGAAGTCTCATATCTCTGACCTGCGGCTGTGGGTTGCCAGATCAGCATTGATTTCCTATCCAGGACTCTAAATGCGCTCTTACATCTTTATCTTTATTATATTTTGTTTGTTATATTTCATTTAGAGGAGACTTTCTGTTGATCATTCTGCTCCAGGGGGGAAGCACAATATTATGTTATCTATTCGTTAAGGGACACACAGGGACTTGTGGTTGAAGACAGGGTGTCACTATTTTTGCTGACTTGAAAGTCAGATACTAATGGATTACAGTTAAAATAATATCGGATTGAGTAAGTAGCAAGACACAAATAAACAAAATGGTTTGTTTTTTAGAATTATTTGAATTCAAGTAGTCAAATAACATACCGTGTTATTGAATTTCAAAGTATAGGGCCTGACTGATGTGGCATATTTGAAACCGATACTGATGTTGAATAGATAGATAGATAGATACTTTGATGCCGGTTACTGTCTCTCGAGGTCAGACAGACCCAACCCGCGACCCCAAAGAACACGGCACTAGCTACAATACACTGGTAAAATATGTGCAATAGGACTGCACTGAGAGTCTGCTCAGACCTTTCTTAGACAGCATTGGCCTGAGCTGACCAGTCCAGTCTGTGGTCCAGGTGGACTCCCAGGTATTTGTATGACCGTACCACTTCAATGTCCTGTCCATTTAGTGTGACCGGTTGATGGGAAGGACCCTTGTGAAAGTCAATAATCATCTCCTTGGTCTTGGACCTTGGTCACTCCAGTCTGAGAAGGCAGCCACCACCTCCCTGTTCTCTGCTTCACCCCCCCCCCCCCCCCCATTTCCAAGTATTTTGTTCATGGCATGTAGCAGAGTTGTGTGCAAAAGTCTGCAGTGTAAATTGTGAAAAGGAAGGGAGCCGGAATGATACCCTGTGGTACTCCCAAATTGCTCACAACAGTCCCAGACATGCTCTTTCCTAACCTGACATAATTGTAAATCCAGTTGGTAAAAATGGGATCAACTCCGATCTTCTCCAGTTTCTCCCTCAGTAAGAGAGGTTGGATGGTGTTAAATGCACTGGAGAAGTCAAAGAACATCAGCCTCACATAACCTCCAGGGCCATCCAGGAAGGACACGCACCAATGGAGGTGTAGAGGACCGCGTCATCCACTCCCATGTTCTCCTGATAGTTAAACTGCAGGGGATCAAGAGCCTGCTTAACCTGTGGCACCAGCAGTCGGAGAACTATCCTCTCAAAAGTCTTCATTATGATGGATGTTAGTGCCACTGGTCCATGCATCCTGTCGGCCTTGCTACCTTGGGTATGAGTACCAGGCAGAAGCACATCCAGTCTGAAGACTCTTTTTAAAGATGGTATGGAGAGGCTCAGCTAACTCCGCTGATGGAATAAACTTCCATTGGAGTTTGATAATGTTGTATGATAATACTTGACCAACAACAACTCAGACTTGTGGCTCAACTTGACTTGGGACTTCATATTTCATATATAATATTATATCAATATATTTCAGTTTTGTATTTCAACAGTGTGGTTCTATCACTAGTTTTCACAGACAGACAGTACATGCGGCCTCTTTGGATTTGCTTTCATAAACAGATAAGTGAGAAAGAGAGGACTTGCTCATATCATATCAGAGACTTTCTAACAACTGCTTATTAGACAGCAGTTTTTACCAGCTGATGGGAAACCACATTGGTTAAAGCAGATCTATTTCTTTTGACTTATCATTGGACACCTTTAATTAGATATTGTCACTTCACATGCAATAGTAAATTTTCATGTACAACTAACAACTTTACAGAATTGATTAGTCCATCACAGCCCTATATTCCCTCAACTAATCACACATCAATCAGGAAACAAACCAGAGACAGTGAGTTCATGAGTGTGTGAAGGAGACGCCAAGGTCCCGCGGAGCTATTAGCCCAAATAAGATTAATGAACGTGGCGCTCTGGGGATGGAGAGGGCTCTCTGCAGTTCAGTGTGAAAAGAGCAGTGTTTCCTCTCACTACAAACTCATGAAGAACAATAATGTGTTTAGTGACACTGGGCAATGTCTTCTGCCAATTAAGCGGATAAACAGGGCCAGTTGAAAGACTCCGAATCGAGGGAGCCTTTAGTTTAGAAGCAGTGCACAGAAGATCAGAGCCATTGTCAGAGAATAAGAGCTACTATATTTGCCTGGAAATGGAAACAAACTGGGGTTTTATGGTGATAATTAGAATATACAGGATTTATACTTGCTTCTTTATTATGCTAAAGTCAGAGATTTTGTACTTATTTCTTTCTTTGTATTAGAGATTATAGATGGCTTCTTTATTATGCTAAAGCTATGATTTTATTTTATTTAGTAGAGTTTAGTATAGAGCTGTGTGCTCATTTCTTACTGTTCTGTAACTAGTGATGCAACACTGAAATTTCCCCACAGTCGGACAAAAAAAAGGATCTCTTAATCTTAATTGAACATACTGATGACATACTGTCTTAGGCTATTGGTTTTAGTTTAATCATATTTTACAACATGATCTGTAACTAGTGTAATGTATACAGTATGTAATTTACAGTATGATTATAGCATGGTTGAAATGTTGAATTAGTTCGTTTTGAATAACTTTAATCAATCAATCAATCAAAGTTTATTTATAAAGCGCTTTTTCATACAACAGATGCAACTCAAAGTGCTTTACAGTTTGGCTAAAAAACAATCCTGCCCATGCCCTCCCCCCGACCGCCCAACAGACCCTCCCCAGACCACAAACCCCCCCCCCCCCCCCCCCCCCCCCCCACACACACACGCGCACACACACACGCACCGATAAAACAATAAAACGATGATAAGAGACTTGGCAGGGTTCAGATGCAACCGGCTGAAGAAACGCCATCCAAGGAGCCGTCAGCGCCAGGAGCAGAGAGCCGCCCATAGCCAAAGGGGACGACACAGGACCCAGAGGAGACCCAAAACCGAGGCCCCGGGCCCCCACCAGGTCCAAGAGTCCGACCCCCACAGCCACAGCCAACCACCGCTCCCAGCGCAGAGGGCTCCTCCAGAGGAAACACTGGGGATACTTAAAAACAATACAATAAGTAAAACACTAAAATGTGAGCCTGAAAGGAACTATCACACAAAACATGAATAAAAGCAATAGCAATATAATAAATAATAAAGGATAAATAGAATATATAAAAATGGACTAATAAATACTAATCAAAAGCTAATCTAAAAAGGTGTGTCTTGAGCCTGGCTTTAAAAATATGAACGTTCTCTGCGACCCTGAGCTCCTCCGGCAGACTGTTCCAGAGACGGGGGCCGTAGTGTTGGAAAGATGCCTCACCGTGAGTGTGTGTCCTGACTTTTGGAATGGTTAGGAGTCTGCTGCCGGAGGAGCGCAGGGGCCGGGAGGGTTCATAGGATAAAAGCAGTTCTGAAAGATAAGAAGGCCCAAGACCATTAAGACATTTGAAAACCATTAGGAGAACCTTAAAATCAATCCTGAAACACACGGGGAGCCAATGCAGCGATTTTAAAACCGGTGTAATGTGGTCCCGCCCCCTGGTCTTAGTCAGGACACGTGCGGCCGAGTTTTGAAGTAATTGTAAACCTGAAATGTTCTTTTTGGGAAGACCAGAGAGCAGGGCATTACAGTAGTCAATGCGACTGGTTATAAAAGCATGCATCAGCGTCTCCGTGTTGGCCCGAGAGAGAATGGGGCGGACTCTGGCGATGTTCTTCAAATGATAAAAACCTATTTTTGTTATATTCTTAATGTGAGGAATAAAAGTCAGCTCAGAGTCAAAAATTACGCCCAGGTTTTTCACATGTGGTGATGGATTAAAAGAGTGTGATTGGAGTTTTGGTAAAAGTTTCTCTCTCTGGGCCTCAGGACCGATGACTAAAACCTCAGTTTTGTCCTGGTTAAGCTGGAGAAAGTTTTCTGCCATCCAGGATTTCAGGTCTAAAATCCAGTTAAAAAGTTTAAATGTTTATACATTATAGAATAGGGTGAATATTTTCTCATAAGTAGTCAAAAATGTGGTCTGGTGATTGAACATTCCTCTTGAACCGTGGAACTTGATATTGATATTTAAGAGGAAACACTTTTTAATATAATACATGTATAACATTTTTATGTATGGAGTGAGCCAGGCCAAGCTGGTTAAGATTCATGACACATTGTGGAACATTCCTGAAAAAGGCAGAACCTCTCTGTGGATACAAGCAGATGTCTGAGGAGAGTGTGGGGGTCTGTCAAGTTACATCCACGTTTGATCAGTATGCAGCATTTGTCTTTTATCCCGGTGTGTGTTTGTAGGTGCGTCTGGTTATCTGTGAGAAGGGGCTGGTGTGTGAGGAGCGCGACGTGAGCCTCCCGCTGCAGGAGCACAAAGAGCCCTGGTTCATGCGGCTGAACCTGGGGGAGGAGGTGCCAGTGTTTCTGCACGGAGACACCATCATCAGCGAGTACAACCACATCATCGACTACCTGGAGAATAACTTCACTGGGGGTAAGATCCACGTCAGGACTGTGTTAGAAATACTGAACTCCCACACCAACCTCACTGGAGGCTTTGCACATTGCCTTTATTGATCATTGAAATAGTTGTCAATCCATTTAGTAAATCATTGAATGCTGAGAAGAGGTTTTATGGCTCACATGTGTTTACAAAGTATTATTAGGAAGGTGTTCTCCAGGGGCATCACTGGAACTTAGCTTTGGCAAACATGTATATTTGTCTTGTCTGAAGAAGGTTGTTGAGCCAAAAAATACTTTATTGATATCACATTTGGCATGATAAGTATTTGAGGGATTCCTTCTTTCATCAAGCGTATGAGAAAACTAATCACTATTACAGCCCTCAAATAAATCAAAGGAGCGAGTGGAGACCAGATCAAACCAGACCATAAACAAACTCAACATCCAAGTCTTTCAATGTCCCAAGAAACAATCACTTTTTTCTTTTTCTTTCCCTTTATTATTGTTTGGTAAACATACACATTTATGGTGTGTCAGATTCCCTGGTCACATGAGACATGTCTTATGTAACAAGAGCAGAGAAATAGAAACCCCCCAGGGTCTTCAGTGAGATACACTCAGCTATGGCTTTACATTTACTCTGTGGTCAGATTCACACTGGATCCGTTCTGATTTGATATGCTGATTATTGAAGAGTTATTGTTGCTTTTACAGTGAGAAAAGAAAAAATATATAACCCATCTCATCCAACCCACAACCCATATCTTCAAAATATATCACATTATTCCAAGGGCGTAGGTTTGCGTGGGGTCCCCACCAATATTTGGTGAGGACTAATAAGTCCCCACCAAAATGACATGATGTCCCGGGACCCGGACGGTCCGTTTGTGCATACGTCGCGCCTCCTCCTCGCCTCCAGAGCAACAGCAGCAGCAGCAGCACGTGACCCGTTCCGTTCTCTGCAGTGATTGGCTGTCTTCTTCAGCGCCAAACTGAAGCACTGAGCGACTGTTTAATTTTTTAAAGTTAGCCAGCGTGAAGCAAGTGTTTTTTTTCGTTCCCTGAGCGTTGTAGCACGTGAGTAATCAGAGGAAAGTACTGTAGATCTATTACCATTCAAAGTACTTACGTTATTTCTAATCTGTCAGCGCACTGTTTAATGTTCCGAGGAGCTCACACGGCACAGAGACAGAACAGAACTGGCTCCAATAAAGAAACAGGTTGGTTGAAAGGCTGAAAAAATACTTATTGTGCTCTTACTGGGCGGCACGGCGGCTGAGTGGATAGCACTCTCGCCTCTCAGCAAGAAGGTCCTGGGTTCGAATCCCAAAGCTCGGATACGTAAATTTTCCATTGCGTTAACGATGCATGCTGGTTGTGCGCAAAACACACCACAACAGGTCATTTAAGTTTTTATTTTGCATACTTGAGAGCCCTGTGAGTCATTACTTGCCTTTTTGGGTAGAGAGTGGAATAAAAAAAAGAAAATATAGAAAAATCCACACTGTTACTTATTGCCAAACTCTTGTTAACTCATTGTATTGAGAAATACTATGTAACTTTTGACATTGGCCAAGTTATATAAATGATTCTGCAGTTCATGTATATGAATGTCTGTTTTTGATTGTCTATACCTTCTTATATAATTTAGAAAAAATGCCACCTCCACAAATAAGATAAAAGATATCAGGAGCTTTTTTAACAGTTGGAAAGTAAGTAAGAGAAAGCACAAGTAATAGCAAATTATGAATTGTGATGATTAATCTTCTGTTAACATACATAACTGCTTCTCATTCAGTCTACAGCTGAGTTTAGTATAGAAGGCAACACACTATTGCAAATATAGTGTGTGATTACACAACAAATTCTAGGGGAGAAACTCTGGACCCCGTGTCAATGGGTGTAGACTCAGGTCGTAGTGAATGTCCCCACCAAGATTGGAACCAAACCTACACCATTGCATTATTCATTTATAATAATGGTTTGTTAATAATCGTGACTTGTAGTGACTTGAGTAGTGTATAATTCTGACATCCTTCCTGTCACCTCAGAGACCGTGGCTCAGTTGATCCCGGAGCAGACCTCTCCTCAGTTTGAGCGTGTGCAGCAGTACAGGACGCTGTTGGACGGTTTGCCCATGGACGCATACACACACGGCTGCATCCTGCACCCTGAGCTCACCACTGACTCCATGATCCCCAAGTACGCCACAGCAGAGATACGAAGTAAGTTCAATTTAGAAAGACTCTGAAAAAAGTCTATATGTTCATAAGATGAGTTACGTTTGGAGGAAGTAGTTTGGTAAAAGACATAGAACTATTTTTCTAGACATACGCTGCCACGATGAATATGGTTTTGGTACTTTTTAGAGATGATGAAAATGAAATCTTCACCATGGTGGTAGTGGAGCTAAAGCAATGAGTCAAAGACCTAAAAAGAGAATGTCCCTCTCTTGAGATAGTGATGAGGAGGAGGAGGGTGAAGATCAAACGAGGAACAGTAAATGCAAGCAGTTAAAGGCCAATTGGAGTTGTTCATTATGTTATTATGATTTAATGATGACATTAAACGACAAGATTCTCCCAATGCTCTATTAAATCTATAGATAAATGTCCCGCTTGTACCATGGAGGGGCTGCGGCTCCATGGTATGCAGTCTGTGACTCACACCAGTCTGTGACTCACACCAGCTGCTGTTAGAGCTATAGAGCAGCTATAGAGCAGCTATAGAGCAGCTACAGAGCAGTTATAGAGCAGCTATAGAGCAGCTACAGAGCAGTTCTAGAGCGGCTACAGAGCAGTTATAGAGCAGCTACAGAGCAGTTATAGAGCAGCTATAGAGCAGCTATAGAGCAGCTATAGAGCAGTTATAGAGCAGCTATAGAGCAGTTATAGATCTTTGCAGCTAGGCTCATGAGAGCATGTGTTCCTGTGTATAAACAAATACACTGGGACGAGGGCTGCAGTGTGCAGTCGAAAATAGACAAGACAAAAAAAAGACAAAAAGGATCTGGAGCACTGCGGCCGGCAGCACCGTACGGTTTGATGTGCGCCGAGCGTTCTTTTGTCGGGAAGACTATGGTCCGATCGCTCTGCAGTCAAAAGTTACACTTATAATGCACTTTACAACATTTCCACAGACGCTGGAAACACTACATGACCTCATGGACCTCACTGACAGCTTCAGTTTGGTTTGATGCATTTCATGTTTCATGCTCAGAGTTGACAGTAGGTCCTGTCCAGATATCATCATTAATACAAACAATAGAAATGTAATGCAATGTTTTTTATGTCACTGAGAGTGATTCATGTTTGAGTAATCCTCTTTAACAGTGACTAATGTAGGATTCCACAGAGTCATGAAACCATTCTGTTATCAAGTTCTTTTGCCCTTTTTGTTTTCCATAAATGACCAAAAAGTTTAAAATAATTATCTTGTGTATACAATGGGAACAAGAAGTGTATACACTGTGTAAAAGAAAACATGATTTGTTCTTTCTATTCTTTTTCACTCTTTGAAATAACATTGCCTCCAACATGTACCAAAAAAGAAAATTATATGTGTTTTATGAAAACATATGGTTTAAACTGTATTTTGGCTCTAGTTGGTTATACAATTATTTTGTTGAAAAAAATAAGTATTTACTTAGGGTTATTGAATTACATTGTGGAGCATAGGCATTGATTTGAAATATGAATCAGTAAACTATCTGCATACTGCTTTCTGCAGCTCTTGATTAGAACTAATCCCACTCTTCTATATCAGGTTTATTTACTCTTCACTGGTGTCTGGGTTTGATTATGGCTTTAATTTAGCCGCATCACAACAGTCTGCATTTACATTCAGAGACGTTTGTCTTCTTTTCAGCCGTCTCATTCCACTCTTCTCTCTGAATGTGCAGAATGTGATAATCTCTAAACACTCTACTGTTACTGTCTGTACTAAAAACATGGCCCAAGGGAGCTAGAAAATATGAATGTCCCAGACCAATTCAAATTGATTTTTAAAATACATTAAGCCCGGTCATGTCAATCAAGGTGTGTACTTAAATGTATGCCAAAATTAAAGTCACCTGTAACTACAGTTCCATTATTCATGGAGGGTCATATTTGACAAGTATAGAAATGTGGGTGTGAATAAATGATTTACAAACATACCCAAAAATGTAAATAAAGTCTAACATTTCAATAATCTAATGCAATTAATGCAAATCCCTCTGATCATGGTTACTCGCGCCCTGGTTTTAGAAGACGTTTTTTGAAAGTTGGGAGTTTGTTTTGACTTTACTTTGACACGTTCATATCTTCCCTGTGTTCCAACACAAGTCCCACGTGAACACACAGCTATGAAAACACCGGGAGTGAACATTTTCAAGCTCTTATTTTGAGTAATTTTACTTTCTGAAACAAATACTTTATCCACAACATTATATGTTTTTAGTATATTTTCATTCACAGTTACATATCTAAAGCGATAGTATCTCTCAACACTCGCAATCCCATACTGTCATGGTTTAGCTTTATTTCCTGTTTTATTTTGTAATTTGTTACCCCAGTGTCTTCTTTAGTTGTACTTCCTGTTTCCTGATTACCTGCCCCGCCCTCATGTGTCTCACCTGTGTCTCGTTAGTCGTTAGTGGATTTAAACCCTGTGTAGTCCGTCACTCCCAGTTCCGTCTTTGTTATTCCTTGTCTATTTTATTCCTGTCTTCACCCGCTTTGGTTTCTTTTTGTGTTTAATCTGGATTTTGTTTTGTTCGACATTTTACTAAAGCCATTATTTTTGCAGTTCTACACTTTGGGTTATTTTCTTTTGCCACGTGAGACATACTTCCTATAGAACTAAACCAGGACAAAGGCCCAGTCTAGTTTACTTCCCCCTTGTAGTTCAGCACCTGGGTTGATAAATGAGGCCCTAAGAGTGGTCAGAAGAAGTTGTATGCTCTGCTTTTTCTGTCCCTGTAACTAGTGAAATGAGTGAAAATGGGCAGGTCATGTGCAGCTGTTTGAGACGTGACCTCTGTGTGTCCAGGACATTTGACCAACGCTGCCACGGAACTGATGAAGCTGGACCACGAGGAGCCACAGCTAACAGAGCCCTACCTGTCCAAGCAGAAGAAACTCATGGTCGGTTCAATCAAACATGCGTGAATATCACAGCTGGAAAGTTACAAAATACTCATAGTAAGATTTTGGAGTAATTGTACTTATTTGAATTTGTTTTGAAGCTTCTTCTTGTATTTGTAATTGGGGGAAAAAACGCCCTGATTTGCCCAATTTTGTACATTCTGTGTATTTTTTCTTTCTTTTTTAAATATACAAAGAAAAGTACGTTTAAAATATGTAACTAAACTTCTATATACATACATGTATGTTCCTTCCAGCTCAGCTAATAATCATCAAATGTATTTACGGTAGAAATTATTCTGATTTTGATAATCTGTAACTATATTTTATTTCATTACAATGCAGCATCAGCTATTGGCAGGATGTCAACAAAATCAAAATATAATCGTGTCATTAGTAGTAATTTGATAAATGTCTAATTTTTCCTCTTTATCTGCAGGCCAAAATATTAGATCATGACAATGTGAACTACCTGAAGAAAATTCTTGGAGAATTAGAAATGGTTTTAGACCAAGTGGAAGCAGAACTGGAAAAACGGAAAATAGAATATCCAGGTATGTGCAAAATATTACAAATTGTCATATAATTTGGATACGCACTTATGTTGTGTGTATTAAGGTATCAAAAGTTTATACTCATGTAAAGATGTGTAGTCTCTTCCTGAATTAATATAGAACTTTAGACTTAGGTTTATGTATGCACTATGCACACATTCAAGTATAATGCCATCTTTTTGGCTGAAACAAATGAAAAAATCTGGGTCTAATATTCCAGCCCTTTCTATTGCCCCCTGGGAAAACAGATGGAAAATATCTGTTACATTTAGGCTTTGTCATGTCATGCTCTGGCTCAATTGCATAAATGTTATAACTTTCCACATGTGTGCACAAACCTGAGATGATGTGTTTGAAAGCTGTAGTCTATTGCATCATATTTTCCCTTACTATTGAAATAAGGCTAGAATTGCGTCACATCAGACAAATATCAGAATGTGTTAAAACGGGGGAAAAAGGGCAGTTTCAGTAGTTTTAGTGCTTGTCACCTCTTCTTCCATAGTCAGCGTCACTAAAATTGCTTTGTCGTTTTCGTCCATCACTGCAGATATGTTGAATTGTAAATAGTAGCCTATATTGGAATATGATGTAGCCATTTTCCGTCATGATAAAGTTCTCCAAAGCTTAAGGTGTAAATATTTGTCATTCAGCACAATTAACCTCTTAACCTCTCACAAACGAGAAAAATAATACTTCTGCTGGCAATAGCAGATGTATTTTGAACTTCATAAGCCACAAGCTATATAACATTTTAAAGTTTATTTTCTCAGCTATATTTACATTTAAGTGTAAACGATATCAGACTTTGCATTAAAAAGATATAACTCATAATATGGGCACAAAATAAATCGTGTTTGTATAAAGTTTCTTACCTTTTGTCTTCTGCTGCTCCAACAAATTAGACTTTCCCCATCCTTGCTTAGTCTCTTTCTCTCCGTAAGTCTTCAGTGAAAAAGAATATCCACTTGTATTTCCTAAAGTATAATCCATTCTTCAGAAATAATCCAAAAATGTGCATTTTTCTGTTGCAAAAAAAACCGCTCCGAAAAATGTTCAGGCTTCTCTTTCACATTTCACCAGTATTGTGCCACTTCACAGCTTTTCTGAACTAGTTCAAGTTCAGTTCATACATGCTCAAAGTGAACAGTTCACGTTCAAAGTTCACATTTTTAATTCTGAACTAGTTCAAAGTTCAGTTCATTTTACTTTTTTCGTGAGATACTTACATACATATTTTTTTCACACTACGAGCTATATATATATATATATATATATATATATATATATCTCCTGTACACCCACAGGAGGAGAGTCTTTTGACCACAAAACAGACCAGATTTACATGGTTTTCAATGGGAGCAAAACAGAGTTGTTCCATCTCTGCTCATAAACTACAGACAGTAATGCGCTGCAGTGCGTGTGTCTATACTTTAAGTCAAATGTAAACGGTGTAAACTTTGTCGCTAACTCACCCTGTGTTTTCATCACGACTCGGGCGCATGTGAAAAGCACCAGCTCACAGCGCCGCACCGCAACACTGAGTCGGGGTGCGTTCACAGACGGTGGAAACCGTAGGAATGTTTAGATTTTGCCGAAAAAGTGCGAGAATACAGGAGGGAGGAACTTTCTCTCGTTGCGTTTCAAAAGAGAAAACAGATTCCAACGTTCATCACACATAAAATGAACTAATTCACGTTCAAGTTCTTTTTTTTTAAATGTGTTGCGTTCAGTTCAACGTTCACAAAAAAATTAGCGTGTTCAATGAACGCGTTCTTCTGAACTCGTTCACGCACAACACTGCATTTCACCAAGTTTGACCTTTGTTTAGCCCCACAAACATCATATCCACGTGTTCCTTGAGTCCTTAGCTTTAAAAAGAGGGGTTCCATGAAAAGATAGGAGCAGTTTTCAGTCCGCAGGACCCTTGTGAAAAAGACGAACCGCATCCACTTGCAGAGGGTCGTTTTTGCCTTGTTGTTGATTACAGGCTAGCGCAATGATTGACGTGTCTACGTAGCCAATAAAAAGAGCTTTCTTTTGATGGGTGGGACTTGAATGAACTCTTCATTTTTTACAGTAAAAGCATGCGTAAAGACGCTGTTAGTACTGCTGCGCATATTTCATATGCATTTACACTACTAAAAAAATAATTTTGAAAAAATGTAAATGAAAATCACACAGATTTGTAACTTATAAGTACCAAAACTAAAAAATATGCTTTTTATGATGGTGAAATGTTAGTAAAGCAGTTTGGCACAATTTGGCACACATTTTGCCAAATTGGTTCCGAATGGCACTACTTGATAAAAAAGAGAAACTGCATAAAAACTATAAAACTTAGTCTGAAACTTTACACAGTTGTTGTCAACAACACAATGAGCAAATTAGCGTTGAAAATGTTCTTCTTCCAATGAAGATGGCTTTTTTTAGGGCATTTATACATTGAATTTTTTAGGCGAGGCTAAAAAGTTTTTTTCCCCCCAAACTTCAAAGGATGCAGAGTGAAATAGGAATGACATACATTATTTCAGTGTATATTTACATAAACTAGAAGGGCCTAGCTTTAAAATGATGCATCACACAATCATGTGAGATGTAAGATGTGTTTTTAAATAAGCAAAGACATTTGGGTATGCCAAACTTTTGTGCACGAGCCAAAACAGATGTAGGAGTTTAAGAGGTTAAGAAAAAAAGTATCACACAATAAACCATAAGACTGCACAACAATGAGGACCAATTGTGGTTTTACTGCAAATGGCAAATAAATGAATCTGATCTAATGTCAGAATGTACAATATAGAGCCATATGTGTTACTGTCACGTTACTGAGTCACTTTGTACATACCCTCATGCTGCTAACATGTACAGATGTAAACACACAACTATACATGTATAGTACTTGCACTAGAATATACAGTATTTTATAATTGCATCTTCATCATGCTAAAGTTGGAGATTATAGACTTCTTTCCTTCTTATGCTAAGGATAAAGATGTTATACTGCTTCTTTGTATGCTAGAGTTAGAGATTTGATTTGATTTCCGAAGAGTTATTATTAAATTGTATTGTCCTCATTCCAACTGTTCTGTAACTTTGATGCAACACTGACATTTCCCCACTGTGAGACGAATACAGGATATCTTAATCTTAATCAGTTATAGTAGAGTGGTAGAATGTGCTGTGTTATGTTTTTGTTGTTGTACTATTTTGTGACAAGTTTTAGTTTTTTTCTTGTATTTCTGTCTTGTTGAATTGCTTGTAAAGTGTTGTGATCGTACGTAATTGTTTTTGTGTGCTAATTATGATTATGTCTCTTTTCCATTGCAGACAACAAGTGCGAGTTGTGGCTTTGTGGACCTGACTTTACTTTAGCCGACATTTGCCTGGGCGCCTTGTTGCACAGGCTCAAGTTTTTGGGACTCTCTAAGAAGTTCTGGGAGGACGGCAGCCGGCTCAACCTGCACATGTTCTTCCTGCGTGTGCAAAAACGATACGCCTTCCGCAGAGTCCTGGGCGACATTCACACCACGCTACTCTCCGCCGTGCTGCCAAACGCCTTCCGCATGGTCAAGAAGAAGCCCCCATCTTTCTTTGGAGCGTCTTTCCTCATGGGGTCTCTGGGAGGCATGGGATACTTCGCTTACTGGTTTTTAAAAAAGAAATACATGTAGTGATTTAGGTCATTCGACGGTGTTACATGTCTGTGTACATATGTGTGACGTTTCATTTGGTTTGTTTGAGTTTCTCTGTGAACTGCAGGAGTAATTACATCTATATAAAGGACACTATTAATATAAAAGCGGATTCAAGAATTATAGTGAAACATTCCAACGTTTAGCACATGCAGGCGAGTGGAGTTTGGGTTCTTTTACAGATTTTTACCACGTTATTGTACAATACACTGCAAAAGAAAAAACAATACATTGGAGCAGTTTGAGTGCTTTTCATGATGTATGGATCTAAACTAATCTAACTAAATTACATTTTTGGTCCAAATGCTCTTATTCAGAATTCAGAGTCTGAATTCTGAATTCTCGCTCAAAATATCTGGTCAAAAGATTTTGACCCACAGGTTTGAGTAGTGCTGACTATTAATGTTTCTATAATTGTTCAATTTCTCTAAATGTAAATAGTGGCAGTGCCAGAAAAAACTAAGCCAATAAAGATCAGATTCATTTTTAATTCAAGTCATTTTAATCCACGTAGATATTTATGTATGTGTTCATTATGTATAGTGTATTTTTAAATATATGCAATATCCACCATTTTACAAACCCACAATATAGTTTACACGTCCCAAAAAGGGATGACTGGCCTTTGCATGTCATTATATCCATATTATCTCCCCAAACACCGCACAAGAAATAATATCTATGTGAAATAAAATGACTTGGCCGCATAATATCTTGTTTTGTTTTTAGTAATAATCCATATTCTCATACATTTTCTGATACACTTAATGTCTAATTTGGTTTGAAGACAAAAGCCTTGTAAATATGATTGTAAATACCATTACATATTACCTGGGTATGTTATTCATTTTTGCAGTGTACTGTATGATTTGAGTGGTTTAAGGCTCCAAAGTTTTAATCACATATATTTTCTTATTCATGGTGCCACAAACTGCCAAAGGACAAAAGACAGACGATCAAAGTGGAGTCACAGTCACTGCAGAGAACTGAGTCTTCACACATTATGAATTAATATGTACCACGTAACTTTCCTGGCTGGAGTCCACCACCTATTTGTCTTAAGGAATCATTAATATTCATGTTATAAATAGTTAGATATTATGAAATATCATGGAAACATTTGACCAAAATACTTGCATGGGATTTTATCATCCAGGTAAAATCCCACGCAAGTATTTATTTTTGTATCGCCCACAATCACAACGATTAGAAAAACATATAATAATAATAGTCCAAAAATGTCCATACATGTTCATTCATGTCCTAGATCCTCCCCGGTCCTGCATCGGCCAGGGGGGGGGACCCAGTGGAAAAAGCTACAGACAGTGACAATTTGACCAATGTGTATACTTCCAACTCAAATAAAATGTCATATTTTCTAGAATATATCTAGGGGGTAGAGGGTGTCTGTACCATAACCCAGGGGCAAATGCTGTGAATATCTTTGATGACCTGGTGAAAAGTAGATTTACAAAAAGATTGAACGATTTTACTTATTTTCTTTCGGCACACAAGAGGAAAGTTTTATTAAAGGGGTAGTAGCTCAGTCAAACTTATGTAGCACAATAATGCACTTCATTAGGTCAGAGTCCTCCCTTCAGCGACACGTTTGGACTCCTCTGATGTAGAACCATGAGGGGATACAGAGCACATGTAAGATGGTGCAAGGGCTAAAGGTCTTTTTGTTGATTTGTTTATGCAATAAATCAGATATTTGAAACCATAAAGAGAAAAGCTGAAGGCTATAGTGTGGAACATTCAGACAATACAATACCATCGTCATGGAGATAGATGGTGCTTTTAGGGTACCAAGTGTCACTGGGTCAACTCTTCAATCTCAGATGTGTCTATATTTTGAAGTTTGTCACTTCTACATCCTGGCTGTAGTGATGTGGGTTTAGATCCTCCTGAATTTACTTGCATGTTTTAATGATGTATGAGAGAAAGGCCAACCTGATGCAAAATTCACAGTGATTTTAGGATTACAGCAAACTAGTCACAAACATTTAGGCATTTTGTATTGGTGATTGTTCACTTACTTTGTGACATTTCTATCAGTTCGCCCATTGCACTGGATTCTTGTGTTTGATTTGAAATGCAAAAATATTCTACCAGTTTAAGACCAAAATACAGTACTACTTTTTTAATCTATAAATCAGTGCTATGTTTGAAATTAAATCAAAACGTCTGACATACCTTGAATTATTACAGTCAGTAATCAATCTAAACTTGTCAAAACTAGTCAAAATGTCACTGTATTTATTCTATTCTATCGTCATGGTGGAAAACAGATGACGTTTCAGATCGATTTCAGTAATGTCACTGCACGTCACTGTTTTTTTCCATTTTGAATTTTGAATGAGTTTGTGAAGGTTACACAAGGAGAGGGAAATGCTGTCTCATTCTGGACCAGGAGAAAACACATTTGGCTGTTTTGTTTTTTATACTGAAAATAACAATTATTTCAAAAACGTATTGTTAATTTAGAATTTTAATCTTGAGTAGTTATGACATGTCTGTATTTATAATATTAACTAAACATTTTGACATTTTTAGTACATGTCTGCACTATCTAATGTCACCCTTAGCAAATGAAACAGCATCACCTTTTAGATGCTTAAGTTTCTTATTATTTCTATGTATGAGAACATTTTCAAATGTTTTTATACATTCTCATCTTTTTTTTTGATTACACAATCATGAACCTAGATTCTTGATTCAGGATGTTTCTGACCGATTTTTGACCCATTATTTATTTTTCAAGCCCAAAGTGTTGCCAGCTTGTAAAGATAAATGGTGCTTACCTTTTTGGCAAATGTATTTTCATCTTCAAACTATCTTGAAACTTGTCAGAACTGTCAATAAACAGTGAAATATAATCAAATACTATTGTCAAACTTACCCTCGTCTAGAATAATAACATGAGAAAGGACAGTTGCTGTGTTTGGTTTGTGTGGTTTAACTGGTTTGTGTTCACATTTTGAGAACAATATTCGACTGTGGTTATTGTATGAAAAATGCAACACCCCAATAATCTTTAATTCTGACCAGTAAACATCGACATGTTGCAGTGTAAACAGCAGCTGAGTGCACTGAACCAAATACTTTCTCTTAATACTGTATCAGTGTGTTCTGTCTCACTATAAATGATATACATTACACCTTTAGAGAATGTTTATTTGAGAATGTGAAGAAAGGCTCATTCATACTGAGGTAAAACATGATAATATTAATGTCCACTAATATCGTGATCCCAACTTCCTTTTTGATTTGTTACTAAGCCTGAATCAATTAAAGCTCTTCACTCTATTTCACTTTTCTGTCAGAAAAAGATGTGACAGAGACCAATTTGATCTTCCTTTTTCAATCAGGAAAGTCCCACTAAGATTTCAGAATCTAGTTTTCAAGGAATGCCTGGCCTCGGAGAGAGCTGTACATGTGAACACTAGTGAGAGAACTGTTAACAGCGACAAACTCGTTGACATTTGTTTTGAAAGTTAGGTACCTTGGCTTTAATGAATAATGTTTAATTCATAATGAATCAAGACTTTTTTCATATTTTATTGAGGCCCATTAAAGTGTAGTTACTGGGGTAATTTTATATGGACAGGGCGTGCGAAATTGATGCAAAATATTCGGCCTGCAAGATTATGTTTATGTCAGTGAGAAATGACAGAAGTAAATGGACACAAATGGATTCTAATGTTTGAATCAAATAAGTATGTTTATTTTGACATATGCACTCTTCTATTTTATTACAGGAATATAACTGGGTTTCACAACATTGTACTTGGGGAATGGTCAAATGTCTATAGTTCATGTGCAGATGAGGAGTGAATAGATGTAGTGGGAAAGTGGACCTTGTCATAGAAATGATCGAGTTTTGTGAGAACATTTGTGGGTTTTTCAACCAAAAAATATGTATTAAATCTGGATGGGTTAAACTGACTTGAATACACATCCCCTTGATTAATTCACTGGTAATTTAACTAGTTTTTAATTTCTTTCAAGCCGAAATATGAAAGTTGCATTTGAGCAAGGTACAGTAATGTAGAAAAGAGAAATGAGTCAGTGTTTTCACGTCACCTATTGGGAGTTTATGGGTATTTCACACACGTTTATGAAAAATCAAATCAGGATGATTCATTCACTTTCTGGCAAATGTTGATGTCTAATCATGTTGTTTTTTTACATTCACTGTATTTAAGGTGGAATGGACACTTTCAGACCGTGCAAGACTTACTTCAAGTCATTTAAACGCAGATATTTTGCTTTTTTTGAACAGTGCATTATTTATTCCAATACCGAAGAACAGTGTTCCTTTATTACTTTGATTTCTTTATCCCAAATTCACTGCACTTTTTGTTACAAAATGGTGGACTCAATCATCCGTGATCATTGGCCGTTATGTTTCAGAGGAATATATATGTATTTCTTTTGTTACCTTTAATTTGATATATTTTTTAAATACATTTATTTATGGTGCTTTTATGATGTTTGTTCATCAGCCTTAATTTATTCAGTTTTCATTAATTACAAATAAATGATGGAATTACAACACTACTGCTTTGTTTTTACTTTTGTCTTAGATATTTTATAGTGATAGTCTGTAACTCTAAATTAATTACACATTTTAGGAAATGTGTTAAATTGACCTCCTGGCCTTAAATGTTGATATAAAATAAGTCGTTATTCTAAGCCCGTTTTTCTAATATCACGGGCAAGTCCCGCCTTCCCTGCTCTTAGCTACAGCTCAGAATCCACGGTGCCGTCAAGGTTAACCAATCGAGTCATGCCAAGGGCTGTCAATCATCGGGGCTGATGCTCGCAGCTGCGCGCATGCTCAGTTGTTTGTTTTCGCGGAGCCTATTAGGCTCTGGAACTACATGAAAACTGAACAAAGAATTCTGAACATCCACGCTGAGGTACTTATGTATATACTGAACCTATATCGATAATCTGATCCTCTGCAGATGTGTCCTATAATGTGCAATTCATGATAATAGCACTTCCTGGTTTGCCGCGATCGCTTTTTTGTGTGCATAAAAACACATTTTTTTTCATTAAAACGTTCAGAAATAATTCTGAAAACCTCCATGCATGTGTATTAATAATGTATATGTATAATATGTTCTCTGATTAACATTTCAAAGTGTTACGGAAACGTAGGTGTAGACCAATCAGAAAGGAAGGGGGAGGGAGCTTGCGTCGTTTTTTTCAAATCAAGTACCTCTCTCTCTCTTTCTGACAAACTCCAGACAATCACTTTAAGTAAAAGCTGCACTATGCAACTGTTCTGATGGGGAACACCCTCTGCTTGTCGCCATGGAGATGTCACTACTTTGCCTGAAATGTGCCTCAGAACAGCACTAAGCGTGTTTGGATCATGTGGTTCTCCTGCTCAGTAACTTGCAAGTCTCAAATGTAGGAATGGGTAATGACCTACTGTGGAACATTCCAGACACTGGCCACTTTCCTCTTTGGGTGAAAACCTAAATGATCAACATATATACTCATATATAAATATATATATACACAAAAGTAGCTCAAACCTGGGAAATGATAAACATTTAAACAAACACGTCACATCAATAATCTCTATTTATTGAGTATTGGCACAAAGTCATGAAAATCCATATAAACACATTTCTGAACAAGGCAGCAGCTGTCAGGCAGATCTTTCAAACTAAATAAATACATACAAGGCAAGAACCTTTACTGATAAATAGGGATTCTAAACTGTAAAATCATGAGAACATATATTGATCTATGGACATGAAATTTAAAAGCAACAATAACCTCAAGCTGAAACGTTCAATTTAAAACTGGTGATATAACAGGAGCTTCATTGTGGTGTCAAACGTATTGCATACATAAGCATGAGCTTCTTCAAACTTTGTAGAATGTGAAACATGTTTTATTTCTATTGCATTTGTTTATTGACTAAAAGCTAAAACAATAAATGAGGAAATTCTATTTAAGATCAAAACTTGAAACATTTGAGAAACAGCCCCAAACTGATGATATTAAACTTGATCATTGTAAACAACAATATTTATCTAAAACAAAAATTGAACAACGTTTAAAACGTGAATAAATCAGACGTTAATCTTCTGCTACTGATTAAAAGCTGGTTTTATTGTTAATTTATTTTTTGTCAAATAATATAATTACTGGACGTGCTTATAATATGAAACCAAAGAATGGCACAAATGTGAAAAGATTTTTGACAGGCAGTAGCATTCATACTTCAGTCAGTATTTAGGTGTTGTGTTAGTGTTTATGAAAAATAGACTTAAAAACAGATGGTTTAATCTTTGTCAAAGGCAGGCTTAAAATAGTTTCCTACATGCTAATGTATTTCTTTTGTTTATACAACAAAAGACTAACCACAAAATCTACAATTCAGTGCACAAAAACTATTTGAATACTGCGTTTCCAGTCAAATAATATTGAGCTCTGTCCCTTAGTCTTACAATATGCCCCATTTGGCTTAGTGATACCATTTCCTCAACACTAAAGCCTAAGATACAAGTACAGTACAAGGTTATTAAAGCATTCCAGAATCACTATTTAGGGTACTGCCAAGTGAACAAAGTTAAAGCCCCATTAAAGGCCCATTTTACACATCTTCCCATCACATCAAGAAACCACATGACACATTTGAGTTATCATACAGTCAATCTCTTTTCAGCTCATGTACGTTGCTTCTGCTCCTTTATTTGTTGCTGAGGCGGCAGTCCCGGTGACATAGATTTAAAATACCAAAGCCTATAAGTGCCATACCAACCTAGCAGGCCACACAGTGTCCCCAGCAGCTTATCGAACGGATTGTGAAAATACACAGACGTACACGTGAACATCCACAGCCAGAGGAACACCAGGCAATTCAACGCAACGTACAGCAAGTTTAGCACCAAGCGCGGCAAAGCAGAAAAGTTGGCGTTTTTCAGATAAGCCATAGGAGCAGTCTCTTCCATGATGAATAACGCAGAATAAGTGAGAATGAAGGAGTGTCCTGAGATGTCGTAGCCGAGCCAGTGGAAGCCAGCGCGTCTGCACATGGTTTTAGAGGTGAATTCGATCTTCAAATCGTCCATGGAGTTGGTTTGGAAGCAGGAGCCGGTAACGTCCTCGATGTAGAAGAAAGACTCTGTGAATACATACCAGACCGCGGTGGCGATGGGCAGAGCGAGCAGGCGCCGTGTGAGGAAGGACACATCGCGGCTGAAAGAGGCGTTGGAGAGAAGCAGGAAGGGCGAGAGGAGCAGCAGAGTCCAGCCCCAGGACACTTTCACAAAATACCTGAAAGAAGAACAAAAGACAACATCGAGATTAGTTCTGTCTGTCTTAAGTCACTTGATTGGTCAATGGTTTCTTAGTCAACTCAAATTGTATTCAGCGGCTGATTATCATATTTAAATGGCAAGGATTTCTGTAGAAAAGGCTTGAAGCAAATTAGCTGAAGATTTTCTTAGCCAGAGCAAACTCAATTCAACATAGATTACCTCTTGAGCTAGTCATACACCGCAGTAGTGAGATGAATTATCATTTATTGTTTTGACTGCTGACTGCGGCCATCCACAGAACTAAGGCAGTTTTCTGAAAAGAAGAAACTTCATATAAAGCTGTTGTAAATGAAGACAAGATGAATGTAACGTATATTTCACAATTGAATCAATAATGCTTTATTCATTTTGTGTGTGAAATTATGCTTTAAGTCTGGCGAGAACAATTTGGGTCGCATATAATTATATCTCTACGCACTTTTTGAGAAATGAGAATGACTGTTTGACCAATTGATTTGGTGGACTCTGCCCCTAATAAGAAATGTGCGAATAATCACATTTAGAATAATTTCAATTACAGCCAAGGAACAGTTGTGCCAGGAAGACATTTCCACAAGAATCTGTGGTATAAGATTCTCGTTCAGGTATTTCTAGTAATTTATATTTGGAGTCACAAATATGAGATACAGAAAATTTAAAATTGTGTTACTCTAAATAACTCAAAACTAAGAATCGTGTTTTCTATTTTATTGATGCAGAGACACTTTCATAATCTTCAGACTATTAAGATGAAGTATCTCAAAATATGATATGAATTTCAAGATAATAAATATATATATTCATTTTCTTTTTGGAAAAATCCATTACAGTGGAGCTGTACATAAAAGGAAAATAAGATCTAATAATTTCTAATGGACATGAATTATCACAGCAAATTACGACATTTACATTGAATTGTCACATAAAAGATTGTATCAGTAAATCAAGTATTTTAACAACTGATTATTTGTTTTCAGCTCTTGTTTTCCTCCATAACAAATAAAGCCACAGAGAGACTAAAGCGCTAATCCTGTCATGACTCATGGAATCCTGACATGACTATAGTGGGCAAACTGCTGAACTGAATGTCACGTCTAAACTCACATTTGTAAGGTTAGTTAATGATACTGTTGATGTTAACGAAGCCGTATATAAATCTATGACAATAACCTCAGGGACATTATTAGATACTCAACACTCAGGACAATCCAGAGCTAGCAAAGTTTGGCCAAAAGAAACTTCACTCACAAGTTGAGAATATTCCTGCTGCTGCTAAAATAAGTCTCTGGAACAAGCTGCAGTTCCTTCAGTAAAGACCCAGTGATGGAAATGAGTAAAAACATCCAGGGGAAGACTCTTCTGGGGTTCGGGTTTCCCCAAAAACAGACCAGTTTATCCACAATGACATTCACCGCCGCCATGTTGGACACCGCTGCTGACGTCAGAGTGCCAACCAATCAGCGGCGCCGAAGCCAAGCAGCTTCCGTGTTTAATTTTCTATTTATTTTTTACTACTTTACTTTTGCAAATTCAGCGATGTGCATATCCATCGAAAGAGGTATGTTCGTTATTATAATTTAAATCAGGAGTCTCCAACCTGTAGCTCTTGAGCCCCCAGTAGCTCGCCACCCCCTTCCAGGTAACTAACCAAAGGATTTAGAAATAAACAAATCAAATAATATATTTAATATTCAGATTGTACTATTCATTATCATTATTTATTATTGTAAATGTTCTCACTTTGATGACCAGTTACAAATATGCAATGATAAATAATGACTGTACCCATTATCAGGGTCGTTCACACCAATGGGCTCTATGCACGCACCACTTCCGCGTTTTAGCTAATCAATCAATCAATCAATCAACGTTTATTTGTAGAGCGCCTTTCCTACACAAGGCAACGCAAAGCGCCTCACAACTCATATAACATCATGCATAAATCATCAAACATTATAATTTAAGTAAACATACAAATAAAATCACACAAGTAGTTAAAACCCGTAAAACATTAAAATCACACTATGGGTCATAGTGCATTAAAAAGATTAAAGATAAAAACAAATGTAAAATCATTCACTTGTATGCACAGCTAAAAAGAACGGTTTTCAGTCCAGTTTTAAAAACTGCCAGAGTAGACGCCTGTCTCACATTCTCCGGAAGACGGTTCCAGACTCTAGCTGCATGAATCTGAAACGCAGCCTCCCCATGTCTAGTTCCGACTCTTGGCACTAACAGAAGTCCAGTCCCTGTGCTCCTCAGAGCCCGAGTTGGTTCATATGGCACCAACATGTCGCGGATGTACCTCGGTGCGAGGCAGTGGAGAGACTTGTACACATATGGACCAATATCTACGTGTTATATTTAAGACACATATTTTCTTGTGTCTTGATATTTACAGTCTATGGTCTTAACTGTTGATTCTCTGATCTGTGTTGACGATTTCCACAGTTTTGTTAAGTCCTCTGAGATTACTGCTGTTGTGATTTAGGGCTATACAAGAATAGATTAAATTGATTTTGTGAAGTAAGTCTCTATTTGAATCTCTCCAGATGCAGTGGGCGTGATGTCATTGCAGCGCCTCAAGAGCCTCAGATCTGGACTCTTCTGGAGCAGCAGAAGAACATACATCCAAGACTATTTCTATAAGGTCAGTCACAGGTCCTATTTTTGTGCCCTCTGGCTTTGCTATTGGCATTTCAACTTTTTTGTCATGATGTGACAAAAAGTTAACAAAAAGGCTGAGAACTGCTCTGATTATTACTAAGATCATTAAAAATGTTTGTTACTACCAATGAATATGAAGCTGAAGCGGATATTCAGACTGAAAGACCGAGTGCAAATTCCCCTCTCCAAGCCTGCAAATCACACAGCTCTGCCAGCCTCGGGCCTCAGCCAATCACACAGCTCTGCCAGCCCTGAGCCTCAGCCAATCACACAGCCCGGCCAGCCTCCTGCCAACCCTCTCACTGCAAAGCGGGCAGTTTAAAAGGCAGCCACTTCCTGACAAGCAACGCTTCCTGAGGCTCTTAAACACCCACCACCTCCCCAGCACCCCCTCTGGCTCCTGCTCTGGCTCTGGCTCTAGGCTCCTGCTCTGGCTCCTGCTCCGCCTACGCCCCATTCACACCATACTCTAGCCACCACCAGTGCTTGACCCCGGGGAATCTGAGATAATCTCCAGCTGCAATCGATCTCATCGCTGAAAGTGTCACTGCCATGGTCAATGCGCCAAACAAGTTTAATGTATTAATTGTGTCTTTGGTCTCTTCAGATTGAAAGACAATTATTCGACAATTGTAACACGGTCAAAAAAGTAAAACGTTTATTTAGCACATAATGGCACACATACGTTTCTACAGTTGCAAACACAATAGAATCTTGTGTCATCTTTCGTCTCAATCAGAATTAATGAAGCTGTAAATACTCCTCCATAAAAGACAGTTTTTTTTGTAGCTGTGTTTGCCCTCATCACATATGTGCATCGAGCTTTTGCCGGCAATAAAACTGTAAATTACTAATGCTGAGTTTATGGTCTGAAAATACATAGCAGAAACAATTACCCAGAAGCACACACTGCAGCAGATGCACAATGAGGCACTATTGTGTGTAGTTCTGTATTCCCAGAATATACCCAAAGTATGGGGACAACCACTAATAAAGACATAAGGTTGAATTATTTAGATTATCTTTATTTGAAATGCACAACAAATGCAGAATACCACACCAACTTAACAATACATTTTCATGAATGTAAGATGGCTATATATTTATTATCCTTACCTTATCAGAGGTGGTCAGCGCACTTCTCAGTTTTGAATCATAATTTTAATTTTGGTCAAAGGATCAGAGGCCCAAATGAAGATACACCACGCTTTAAAACTACTACTTATACATATGTTATTTTTTGAGAGAGGGAGAGAACACAGACCTGTTTATTGACCCTCAAAATGTTTCTGCTGCATTGAACATGAAACTAAAAGTGAAGTGCTTTTCCTTTGATTCAAAACAAAGGCAACATCACAAAGCCACAGTTTGTTCAAACACCTTGAGTACATCGTCCACTCCCGTCTCTCCTCCATCAGCCTTGCTTTCATTAACACCCTTTTTCATTTTTTGTCTCTGTACTAAATTACTATCATTTTGTGTTACCTCAAAGCATGACAAGGGTTTTTGGGGGGTACATTCAAAATTCGCTTCCTTTATAGGATGGATGCTCCCTCAGAGATAGGGATAGAGGCTTTGCCACACAGAAGGAGCTTGTAATAGAGCTGCTGTTCCTCTCCATGTAGAGAGAGGATCCAGCTGTGATGGAAGGTGAGGAGGATGTTCTCTAAGACCTGGGACATGAGGCTTGCAACACCGGCCAGATGTCTGTTCCCCTGGAAGGAAGAAATCTGCATTTTAAACTGACTGTGATTAATCAAAAACAAATTTTTGAATGTTGATTATCCAACATTCTTTTATTTTATTTTATTAACTGTGAATTTTGTGAAACAATATAGGAATGTGTTTAAATAATATTTCCAACACTTAACTCTTAATACTACTTCTGTACTTTTCATGTGGAAACTCCATCATCTGCATACAGTATCTCCATGGAGCGTTGAGTGTTCCTACGATAAAATGACGATAGGAAAAGACAGATGAAAGAACAACAAGACCTTTTTGTCCAAGGTGAGATTGCATTTTTTACATCTTTAGATTTTTGGTACAGCCCAAACTTGACCTTCTTCCATGATGATAAACAGATGCTTTAAATATACTAGTCAGGTCAGGGAAGGTGTCACACTAATCAAACTTATATATCCTGAGGAAAAAAACAAATCATGAAAATGATCTTATGGACAATATGGTGGTGGATCCTCAGCTGTCGAGAAGCCGCCTTCTGCCACCCGGTGATGGGAGAGAGGCGAGCACGCATCATAACTTTATGTGTATTTGAGTTTCTATCATCGCGTCGCCACGGTTACTGTGCTATAGATGGGTGTCCATACGAGTCCTTTGGTTACTGTTTAACCTCCCCGCCCAGATTAGGAAAATCAATAAGATAACAGCAGCAGCAGCTCCAGCAACTGCCTTCTCACGCTGCCAGAACAAAAAACACAATATTTATGCAGGTAAAATAGTCAAAAGTGGATCTAAAAAGACAAAACACCAGCAAAAAGAAATGGTTAATGTAAGCGCGCGACTGGAGAGGAGTTACGGTGAGTGTTTGTGCTTTTATTGTGGTGAGAAAGAGGTAGAGAGCAGCAGCTGTTTGGCTTTCACTGCTGGGATGATATACTCTGGAAAGTTGTGTGGATTTGGGTGGGACTTTTGGCTTATATTGACTCGTATGGATTTGAATGGTGTTTTATTGGCGTTTACGGTGAATTATAGTCATAAAGTAAGAATGATCTAACAGAGTGAATACAGAAATATGTTTTAATTGATTGAGATATGCATAAGATGTACTTAAATAAAAGATAGACCATGGGCAGTCTGAACAGCAAGATGCATTGTTGGATTTGGTGACGGCAAAGATGACTAGATCCACAAGCACCACTTTGTATCAAGTTATATTATGTGTGTTTTTGACATCGGGGATCTCAAGATTCACATGTGGGATTTAGATGTGACTTCCTTCCAATCCGCAGCTTGCCGATCTGAAAGTCCAAGAACAGTTTTGTTAGTCAATATGTTGTTGTTGTGTGTTATTGACACACACACACACACACACACACACACACACACACTCATCCATGCATGCACACACATCAACACACAATACAAATGACTAGAATATTCTAAACTGGAGCATATAATGTTTTTAAGAGTCTTCTAAAGTTTGATATCCCTCTTTATTAAATGAAAAAACATAGAATTTTGATAATAATGTGTCAGCTCCACATTGCCTCCATCTAAATTACACGTGGCAAACACACGTGGCCTGCAAGATCATTTGTAGTGGTCCCTGATATGATTTTTAACAATTACACTCAAAACAAATTGGTCAGAAAAACTATCAATCTATTTGGTTAAGCCTTTTTTGGTTAGAATAATACATATATTGGTCAGAGATTTACCAAGCTGTTGATTGTTGGCCATCCTACTTAATTGGTTAAACAACATTCCACAACATTCGTGGATTTTATTTCAGTCTACCTTTGTCCGTCTGTCATTCATGTCCACCCCAAACACAAGGAGAAGCTGGTTCCTCTATTCAAACTATTTAAAACAAAGCAACATGATTTCCAGTTATTTCCAGGTGACTACACAGTAAATTTCAAAACAAAAAAATCCTCGAACAGAGTAATTATGTAAAACAGGCTTTGCCCACTGCAGCTCTATAAGCCTCTGTTTGTCCTAAATTCACTTTGCACACAAACAGAACAGAGGATATGGAACATGCTCTTTTAAAATAACTAATCTCAAGCAA